CTACTACTACTACTACTACTACTACTACTACTACTACTTCTACTACTACTACTACTACTACTACTACTACTACTACTACTACTACTACTACTACTACTACTACTACTACTACTACTACTACTACGACTACTCCTACTCTTACCCGTACTCCTCCTTCTACTCCTCCTTCTCCTCCTCCTCCTCCTCCTCTTCCTCTTCCTCCTCCTCCTAGTCCTCCTCCTCCTCCTCCCTCCTCCTCCTCCTCCTCTTCCTCCCTTCCTCCGCCTCCCTCCTCATCTGGTGGCGTGCTTATGGTCCCCTGACCAAAACAAAAAACATGACTCCTCGTGTTGAGTATAAACCGACAAATCTCTCTCTGTCGCTACGGTGAAGAACGTTTGCTTAGCGTGTCGCGGCGGCGGGCCCGGATGGCCCGGCGACACGACATGCCTTGCAGGCGGATAGCGTGTCGCTCCGCTCCGCGGGGCGGGAGGCTGGGAACAGCTCGGGACATTGTCGCTTGGGCATGGAGTCGTTGATAGCGTGTCGCGCCGAAGCGTGGTGGGCCAGGGGCGGCGGAGCGACACGCTAAGCCAAAGTTCATTACCGTATGTATTCGAACACGGACCTCTTGTTGCCCATCGGCCCTGGGCCGTCTTCGGCGGTCTTCGGGCGGTCTTCGACGAGTTCTGGCGGTCGTCGGCGATCGTCGGCGCGAAAGCTGGATGGTTACATTCAACACAGGGGTCAACTATCGATTATGTGACGGCTAGGGCTCGAGAACAACCCTCCAATGCTGAGAACGGCACAAGGGACCCCCTTCTTGATCTCTTGATCGGCTGCTCTTGATCCGCGGCAGAGGGGGCGGACCTTCTCGAAGGCGGCGGGGCTTCGCAGAAGCCCTCCGATCTCCTTGGAAGCCCTCAGCGTCTTCGGGATAGGCTCAGATGAGGAGAACCATTATCGTGTTGGGAGGAAGGGATAGCAGGGTCTCTCCCCCTTTCTATGCCTCAGATGAAGGATATGAGCAATAGCATTCGGATGCAATGCACGATACCTTCGACCGCCTACGGGTAATGATATCCTCATTTCTCCCAACCCCATCCTCACAACCCCATAGTTGTCTTCCTGATCAGAAAACCTCTCAGAAAGCCCGACTGACAAAGGAGCCTCCGAAAAAGACCGCCCCCACTGCTCGTGGCTATCGGGCCATCATTAGGGAACTCGGGCCTGCGGCGGCCGTTCGGGACGATCCGGGCACCCCCGGCGAGGCGCAGCTGCTGGAGGGCACCTCGAGACAGAGCGCACGACGACTTCCCCCGAGAGCCCCGGGAGACCATCGGAGCCTTCCGACTTGAGGCGCTGGATCTGGACGCTCGAAATGGGTACGGAAAGAATGGGTACGATGCCCAACAGCAGTTCCTGCTCATTTTGAACAGGACTCGCTGTCCGCGCCGCCGCGGCCTGTGCCCCTTTGAGGCAGGAGGCCGCCCGCCCAACAGCGGCCGCTGCTGGTATGGGACAACATCTGCTGTTGGGCATTGTGCCCATTCTTTCCGTACCCATTTCGGGCGCCCAAAATTCTGGTGCAGCTGCCCCCCGAGCCCCCCCGAGCTCCGCCGCCGCCGCGCCGCCTCCCGCGGCGCGGCGGCGGCGGGCCGGGCTGCGCAGGACGGGGGGGGTCCGCGGAGTCGGGAGGAGAGAGGCGTCTGGCCCGAGAGGAGGCCTGTGCTGTCCGCACCCCTTTCGGGCCACTGGAGGCCCCTGGCAGCCACGGGTCCTGTCGCGCAGGGCTCCCGCGCCGCGGGTCCAGCCGCTGCTGCACCGGTAGCAGCCAGGCGGCAGCGCCTCGGCACCGGCCTGCGCACGCCGGGGGGGCGCGGGCGGGCCTGCGAGGCGCGGCCGCCGATCGAGAGGCCCCCTGCGTGCCGTCGCCCGGACGCTCGTTCCCTGCGCAGTGCTCGGAGGAGGAGGAGGAGAGGGGAGGAGGAGGAGGAGGAGGAGGAGGGGGGAGGAGGAGGAGGAGGAGGAGGAGGAGGAGGAGGAGGAGGAGGAGGAGGAGGAGGAGGAGGAGGAGGAGGAGGAGGAGGAGGAGGAGAGGAGGAGGAGGAGGAGGAGGAGGAGGAGGGAGGAGGAGGAGGAGGAGGGGGGGAGGAGGAGGGAGGGGGGAGGAGGAGGGAGGGAGGGAGGAGGAGGAGGAGGAGGAGGAGGAGGAGGAGGAGGAGGAGGAGGGATGTCGTGCGTGCCCTTGCTGCTCGAGGCTCCACGGATGTGCCCCGAGGGCCCCCGCCGAGGAGAACGAGGCACGCGCCCGGGCGAGGCCAGGCCCACACCAGGGCATGGCCAACCGAGGCCTTGAGCGTCCCGCCGGGAGAGCGGGCGAAGAACCTGTCTTATGTCGGGCCTGTCCCCCTACAGGGGGATCTTCGACGAAAAATAAAAAATACCCCCAACATAATCAAGAAATACCAAAAATAGTCTGGGGACTATTTCTTTGAATATGTTTGACCTTTTTTGGAGTGTTTTGGGGGTATCTTTCATTTTTCGTCGAAAATTCCCCTGTAGGGGGACACGCCCGACTTAAACCCAGTCCCCCATCGGGCAATGACAAAAATCATGACGGGAGGTTCTTCCATACTTGCGTCCTCTCGAGGACCTCACTGGGCCTCGGGGCCGTCACAGAAAAACGATCCAGGATGAGATACCTAGGGAAACGAACTCGATATACACCGACGCTTTGTCCGACCCTGCACCGAAATTCGCACAGGATTGCG